TTTGGCATTGGAAACGGCATCGTATATTCTGAACATGGTTCCGTCGAAGTCAGTTGACACTACCCTTATGAGATGTGAAAAGGGCGCAAGCCCAGTTTCTCACAGCTTCGAGTTTGGGGTAGTCCTGCACACGTGTTAGTGCAGGAACCTGGCAAGTTGGAGAAACGTTCGGAAGCACGAGTTTTCGTAGGCTATCCCAAGGGAACGAAAGTGGATTATTTTATAGTCCTGAGGATCAGAAGGTGATCGTTTCGACGAACGCTAGATTCTTGGAAGAAGACTATATTATGAATCATAAGCCCGCGAGTAGACTAGTCTTAGAGGAGTTAAGGGGTGAAATCGATGGTTCCCCACCGAGTGCGCAAGTAGATACATCACATAATACTGCAACTGGACACACTGAGAGTGTACCAGTGCAGACAGTGCCTCGTCGCAGTGGGAGGGTTTCTTATTTACCCGACCGATGGATAGGTCTTGGAGAGTCATCGGACTCAGTTCCAGGAGGCCTAGAATCGGACCCAAGAACTTACGATGAGGCGCTCCAAGATAAAGATGCAGATTCATGGAATGTTGCAATGAAAGCTGAAATGGGGTCAATGGACTCTAATCATGTCTGGGATCTTGTAGAACCACCCGATGGGGTACGACCCATTGGATGTAAGTGGATCTATAAGAGAAAGAGAGGATTGGATGGGAAGGTGCAAACCTTTAATGCTAGGCTTGTTGCGAAAGATTACACCCAGATCGAGGGTATTGATTATGATGAGACCTTTTCGCCAGTAGCTATGCTTAAGTCCATTCGGATTCTCTTGGCTGTAGCCGCTCATATGGACTATGAGGTCTGGCAGATGGATGTCGAGACAGCTTTCCTTAATGGGAACCTGCAGGAAGACATCTATATGCAGCAACCAGAGGGATTCATTGCTGAAGGTCGTGAGCATCTAGTGCAAGCTTAATCGGTCTATTTATGGACTGAAGCAAGCTTCGAGATCTTGGAACATCCGTTTTGATGAGGTGATCCAGTCGTACGGGTTCACTCAATGTCCGGATGAGCACTGTGTTTACAAGAAAATCAGTGGGAGCGTGGTGGTATTTCTTGTGCTTTATGTAGATGACATACTGCTTATTGGAAACAGTAAGAAGGAGTTATCAGACGTAAAGGTGTGGTTGTCTAAGCAGTTTGATATGAAGGACTTAGGTGAAGCAGGACACATTCTTGGTATTAGGCTCATTAGAGATCGTAAGAAGAGAATGTTGTGCTTATCCCAGTCTTCATACATAGATACTGNC